AGATGAAGAGTGAGAGCACCACACTTACTGTGAGTGGTAAGGTGGCATAAAGCAGGTAGCCCTGCTTTTAATGTAGCTCTTTCTAACATCTTTTCAACATGCAGCTTTTCCTGGCTTAGATTTCATTACACTTAATCAACAAACAGATGCAAATGCATCAAAAGGAATCAGAGACCGAGGAGGTCCAGCCTGCACCTCCATTTACATCGCTTCTGAAACTCACCAGCTGACTCTAAAAAAAACGTCACATGAAACAGCTTGTGCCCCGCCTGGAGCTGGGCGCAGATGGATGCAGTTTAACCTACAGCCGAGCACCATCACGTTCCCATCAGATATGTTCCAGAAGATGTTCTGGCATTCACGGGAGCCTTTGCCAAACACCCCAGCCCCTGTGCGAGAGGCAGGATGCTGTTGTGCTCTTATAGCAAACCTTCCCCTCCAGATATGCCTAAATCTCCCTTGCTGGGTGAGATTTCTCTCAGCAGCTCATGCAAGTACCTCTGAGCAGCAGCTCTGCTCCTTGGGAGGTTCCCAGGCTGCCTTTTCCCCCTTCCCATCCCACCCCCATTGCTTCCTGCGCCCTTCACCACACGCTCGCAGGCAGCAGGGACGTCACCTCCAGGGCCCTGGCCACCTGGTTTGGGGTCTGGGTTTGGGTGCAGGTCCAGACCCACGCTGTCTCCGCACACTTACCTCAGGACACACGCACCTCCCTGCTTGCTGCCGCCGCGTCCCTCAGCCTGCCGGCGACGCATCCCGTCAGGGAAGTTCTTCGCCTTCTCCTCTAATGGGGAGTGCAGCAGCTGTTACTGCTGACACCCGCTGCTTACGGGAACGCGCCGGCAGTGCCCAAATCCAGCCTTAATCACATTAGTTTTCCCCTTCCTATCCCATCCCCACCCCCCCTTTTAAAAAAAAAATAAAAATCTCCAAGCTTCTGTGGTGAAAACAAAGGCAAATAGCAGGGGGCAGGGGGCAGCAGCAAGCCATGGGGTGTGTGTGGGACACCCTGGGAGCCCTCTGGGTGGGGCAGGGTGCCAGCTCCTCCAAGTACGCTCCCCTCATCCTCAGGTCCCTGGTGAGACCAGGGATTACCCCTCTCAAGCCAAAAAGCTTGAAAGTGGGCTTTGTTGTGGCTGTGCTGTGCGCAGATTTGCATAAACAGCCTGTCTGCGTGCCAGTACGAAATCGACACGGCCATAAAAGCATCGCTGTTGCCTGTCGCCACCCTGCCTGTGATCGGCTTCAGGAGGCTGCACGGTGGGTGACAGCAAAGTGGCTTTGGCCGTACCAGTGTCCCCTCATTGCCTTGACCTGGTCCTTGGTCACCCCTGGGCCCTGCCTGAGCTGTGCCAGTGCCCAGCCATGGTGCTGGACCTGGCCCTTCACTTCCCAGCTCAGCCTGGGGTCGTTCCTGGTCTCTTCAGGCTGCTGTGGTGGCCTGGACTCGTGGGCACCATCACCAGGCTGGTGCAGGTGCTGCTGGAGCCCCCTGACAGTTCTGGCAGCCCTGTTTGGAAATCTCAATCCCAATCCTCGTCGCCCCAGAGCCCCCATTAGAAGGGGCTGAGCGTAGTGCTGTCGTGTTGCGGCCTCAGGCAGGCAGGGATGAAGGCATCGGCTACCTCAGCGGCCATCTTCTCTTCAGGAGGCAGCATCAGGTGCCCGCCATGCCACAGGGCCGGGGCCTGTCCTTGCGGCAGGGCAATGCACATGGCTGTAGCACTTACTGAGGGAGGGGTGATGGAAGAGGGTTTGGTACCTGCAGTCCTCCTCTGCTGACAAATGTGTTCTCGCAGGTGCTTCAGCCACGGCGGACACCAAGACAGCCTGCCCTGCTGAGTGGAGGTGGTGGGTACGTGCCTTAGCGTGAAGCTGCTGTACGGTGCTGGGGAGACGTGACCACTGGCAGCCCAGCTTTCATCTGCTTGACTGGTCTGAAAGTGCAGAACTGGTGGTACTGGCCTCTCATCTGAGATCTGTACGTGAAAAAGGCTTTATAGCCACTGATTTTCAGGATATAATGTAAGGCTTATAGTTTTCCTTCTTTTTGTCAGTGAAAGCGGAGAGTCTTAGCTGTAGTAGTTGGGGGGAGGGATAGTTTGTTTTATTGTTTCTATTTCTGTATGTAATTGCCCATACTTTATATATTAAAAAGAAAAATATGTGCATTTAAGTAATGCTATGTTAGTGCCTAATCCTGTCTTGAAACAAGGCAGGCTCTTCTGGCTATTCCTTACTAATTTACTTCCAAGTTAAACAATCCCTTGTAATTCCAGTGTAATAAGGAAGCAGCTCCAGACCTCTGCCCATGTGTAGGGGAAAACAATTGAATCCACCAAACACCAGCGTTACAGGTAAGTGTGTCTCCAAGTCACAGTGTGGAGTTACAGCACCACACGGCCTTCTGCAGCTGCTGCTTGCCTTGAGCACACATTTTCATTGTGCCATCTCTAGTGAGCTCCAAGCCTCAAGAGGCTTTCAGCAGCACAGGGAGTGTGCAGGTCCTGAAGCAAGTGGCACCGAGGGTTCATTGTAGCTCTGTGCAAAGGTATGGGGGAAAGTAGCAGAGCCTCAAACTGATGAGACCAGCACCAACCCAGCTGCACCAGCACAGGATGTAACACAGCACGGAGCTGTCCCTGCACACTTCGGAGCTGGGGCTGGGCTGCGCGCAGTGTGTTGTGTGCAGGTACCCGCTCTGCTCAGCACCGGGTCAGAGAGATCTGCACAGCCTGGGCACAGCTGTAAGAGCTGGGCTGGTTTGAAATACAGCCTGGCGCAGAGTTCAGCCCTGCTGTCTGCTCTCGAGTGGAGAACTCAGTGGCTTCAAAGCCGCAGTCAAACCAGACGTCACCACCACCTCCTGATAGAGATGGAAAAATCCCGTCACAGTCATTACCATGACATGAGCACCTACCAGCAGCCCCCAGCTGCAGGCTCTAATGCCAAGTGACAGGCATATGTTTCCTTAAGAAATATAGTCCTCCCCGTAGCCTTTGGTTGCATCACCCAACAGGACAGCATTGCCTCAGCCTTTTCTGGCCAGAGCTGTGACCTACTGGAGTCATTTTTGCTCAGCCAGGCTCTGTATGTCCTTCTTGTGATGGGGCCCAGACACAGACTAGGAAAGATCATGTGGCACTGCTGTCACTAGCAAGAGTTTTGGCTTTTTCCTGTCATAAATTTCTTTCTTAGTAGGAAGCTGGCACAGAGAAGGGATGTGAGACAACTTACATCCTCTTCATTGATTTCTCAGCAACATTTGTGTTACAGATTCTTAGAAGAGAAAAATACTCAGTTGAGGCTTCAAAATAGAATTAGGGAAAATTGTACATGCTCCATAATAGCTTGATAATTAAAATAGTCTGTAGACCGTGTAATTTGAAATTTCAGCAACGTAGTGCACAGAAGGATTGTAAACCCAGCAACAGTCCAGGCTCTTTGATGCAGAAACATTCTCCTTCGTGCAGGTTGCTTGTACATCTCCACAGCAGCAGAGTGCAACAGTGACAGCAGGCATGGAGCAGCGGATGTGGAGAAGTACCATGAAGGTCACTCCGTAATGCGGGCATGGATGCAAGCAACCCCAAGCTGACACTGGAGCAAGCTGGTTGCTTCATTAACAGGTTGAGAAATGCTCTGATACTGCAAGATAATCAGGGTTATAACAAGTTTTAGCAGTCCTTCCCACTCAGCCAGCAGCCACTTCAGTCCTCTGAATGGTTTTGGGGGATTAGAGAAGTAGGAGCAGATTGATCAGTTAGCGAGACAGAAGGTGGCAACAGCTAGTTGTGTTGGGCTCACGAGGAACTGATCACTAAACCCACAAAGCTGGGAGTACTGTCTTATTTAAGTACTTCGTGTCATCTTTAAACTGGGAGCAGTAGCCAACATTTAAATGGGGAAGGAGGTTGGTAAAAAATGTGAGAAGTCCCACAAGGAGAATGAAGAATAATGCCTGCAAACTGGCATCTCAGGGTTGACCCGTGCATGTCTATGGCTCTGTGGTTGGGGAGATCAGGGAAAGCAGGATGCTTCTCTATGTCTAGTTAGGAGGAAGGTCAGAAGTGCCAGCAGGGCCTCCTGCTTCTATTCCATCGGCTGGTTTTGCTATTCCTCTGTCAGACTCTCTGGTTCGGCAGTGCATTCAAATGTTACTGGTGGGAATGAAGTCACACACACACACACACACATGCAAAATACAGTGTGGCCTCCTGAGCCTCATTCTCTTACAAATTCTGCTTAACCACCCCCTGCCACTTTATTTTATTTGGTAACTGCTGGAGCCTGCGTGGGGGTGCGGGTGGGGATTAGCGGGAAGGGATGGTGCAGGGCTCTTGCTGGATTTCAGTAAGAGAGGCCTGGCAACAAAGAGCTTACTAAGAAAACTGCTTTAATAAGGCAGAACAGGAGGAATACAGATAGTGAGTAAACTGCACGTCCCTTCAGGTGCTGGGCACCCCACATTCAGGTAGCATCAGACAGCCTGGGTGGATTTTTTTCCCATGTCGTGCTGTGCAGAGCAGATCTGACCCTGTCTGAGGAGAGACGCTCTCCCTTTCGGCCATTTGAACTGTTATGTGATTTCCCGTGAAAACAACTCTCTTCTTGAAGGCTGTTCTCATGAGAACGCCTGGCTGCCCTGCTCGATAAGGGCAAGGCCAGGCAGGTGGCACAGGCAGGGGGAGCTGCCCGCGGGCTCCTGTTGTGCTGCTTGGCGCTTACGATCCTGCAGCCAGGTGGCTTGCTACGCCTGCTCCGGGTAACCTGACTGCAGCGCTGGCCCCTGCGTGTGAAGCAGCCTCACGGGCAGGATCAGCACCAGCCAGGGAAAGCTCACGCCCGTGCGTTTTCTCTGGCACAGGAACCTCAGACATTAAACCACTGGCTCTGCAGTTTGTTTGCTTTCAAAAATGACAATGAGCTGGGGCCGGCCGCAGGCATGGGTTGGCATATTAAAGCTCAGGCATCTCTCTGGTACCATCAGTCAAATGCTCTAAGGCGTCACTTCGCAAACACTTTCACACATTCTTTTGGCTACCGTGAACAATGCGGCCAAAACCTGCAGCGCTGTGGCGTAACCCGTTTTGGAGCCGGGCACGAACCTCAGCGCTTCATGGGCAAGTGGTGCCCAAAAGCATTCTGGGCGGCTGTTTTGTCACCATAATGTTGTGAGAAAGCTGTGCAGAGCTCACAGAAATACCATTCGGAGCGCTTTTACATTAGATTTCCTTTCAGCAAGGAGCCAGGTGGCCATTGGAAAAGTGAGTGGTCAGCAGTGCGTGCACCTTTAAAGCAAAGCTCTCCCAGCTCTCTGTGCTCCCTGCAGAGCACTGGGGCTTTAGTGAGAACTGCACCTCACACTTTGGCCTGCTCCTTGCTGCTGGTAAGTACCCAGCTCCTTCTCCAGGTGTGCTTTCTCTTGCTGTGTTGCTGCTCCTGGGCAGGGTTTTGTTGAAGGTGCTGTGGTGTAGTTGGGCTTTTCCACTTGGTTTCTTGATTGGTTCTGGTGTTACTGCTCTTCCCAGGGTCTGCCTGAGAGCATGGGAGGGGGCGGGACTGGGGAAGTGCTTGGGTGGCCTTGGTTTCATGGAGTGATCCTGTGTGAAGTTACTGAGGTAGGGAAACGCAGCTCTGTCCTTTGAAACTCAACTAATTTGTTGGTTAGGTTTTGATTATTTGATTTTGGAGGCATTCTTTTAAGTGAAGTGGCTGCTGTTATGGCTAAGCAAGTGTAAGTCACTCAAGGTTAAGTTTGATACCTAGCTGCTAGGGAAAGAGCATCAGGACATAGTAAGTTAGGTAAAATGAAGGGTGTGTTACTGCCTGATCCTGTCTGCAGGAAGATACGCTTCTAATTGTAAGAGTATGGAAAATGCATCATGTTGTTGGTGGATCTTTTCCCAGTGGAGTAAGGATCGTATAAACGTGGCTGAGTGATTTCTAAGCACCAAGAGTTTGTGAAATGCATCATTCTATGGTGTTTATATACATGTATCATGAGAAAGCTTGCCTTAAATTTTGGATAGTGTTCCATGTGCTACTCTGAGAGCTGACTGCCCAGCGTCTGATTTACTTGTAGCTGGTATGTTGTCACATACAACACTGTAAGTCAAAACAAAATCTAAAAGATAGGCAAAATAAAGAGAAGTAAGATAAAACCACGATGAATGTTGTATCCAGCTCAAAACAAACATTGGAACAAATAATTGAAGTAAGGCTTAAATGTTCGCTTGATTCAACATAGGGGCTGAAGCTTGAATTAAGAGGAAAACCTTGAAAAACGTACATGAAGGCCAGTGATTGTGGGAATTAAACATTTAATTATTTTTAAACTTGAATGTGGATTGCAACAGCTCTTCTTTAACACAAATTTTATCAATCACATGTAGCAAATCGTGACTTCATAATCTAAACCACATTAAAATCTCAGTATTTAAACAGTATTTTCCAAAGTTGGGGTTTAATTAGTGATTAGACCATGCACTGCCTTTGAAGTAGCCAATCACAATTGAAAGTTGTTCTGTAATCAGCCATTTAGGAACAGAACTGCAGTGATCAAGTTAGAGGTGCAAGCACTTGAGAATAATGTAAAGTCTATACAACATGTGTTGCTACAGCTGGGTAGGTAGAGGAGGAATGATTAAAAAAAAAAGTCTCAGGGACTGAAAGAGTACAGTAACCTGCCAGCTGTATAAAAATGACAAAACAAATGAGCAACTGCGTGCTCCACTTGGAGCACATCTTTTTCTTTTTTTAGAAGTCACTTACAAAAGAGCACGTTGGTGATTTGTACTCACATCCTGGACCATTTTCAAGCCCTTGTCAAAGGAAGATAAATTATTGAAGCATTTTATAAAGTAGCGTCTCTATTTGTGTGTTCTGTAGTGGCTTCTGAAGTCTTTAATGTAGAAAGGTTAACTATTAATTGCAAAATAATTTGGAATTATTCCCTGACTTTTTTAAAAAAGCAACCTACATTTTCTGCCTTGGATAATTGAAATGTTACTCGCATTAGAGCTACTGGTACTTGAAAAGAATGGGGCAATGTTACACTAACACAGTTGTCTTGTGTTCATCCATCCACAGCTAGAAGTATTTTCTTATTCTTGGAGACACTGTAAGCTACTCAAAGAATAAAGGAGGGCTTCAGAAAACTCATTTAAAAAAAAAAAAAGGCTAAATAACCTCACCATGAGACACAGTACCCTAAATTATAACCTTGTCCTGAGGAACAAGAAAGTGTTTTGAAAAATTTGGATGTTAAGTGCAGTAATGCTCAGACTAAGAAACACCTGAACCTTCATATTTATTTCTTGTCTGACTGCAAGTAAAAGGAGAAGAGAGGTTTTATAAATCGATGCAAGTATTCATCTAAAACTGAGCTGGATTTACTTGCTTGTCTTTGATTAACTGGGAGGATTGCTGCAGAATGTAAACAAACAAGTTCCGATTTCATTGCCTGCACAGATATTTCTCTTTCCCTTATGCATACCCCATGCTATGAGCTCAATGTATTTTTTTTCACATTTCTGGCTAGCACATAAAGAAAACAATGTATGGATGGTGCTAAGTTGTGAGGAAAAAGAGCAAGCTATCTGAACAGGATATGTGTGATATGATAGCAAAAGCTTTTAGATTTCTTGTCTGTTTTGAGGAATAGCTTTAAATAATAGCTTAAAATGCTTTTTATTGAAGAAGTCCTTTGTGTTTGGAAAGAGATGCAAAACCAAAACAAAGGTAACTGCAGTTGGGGAGGGAGGGAAGTACAGAGTGGGAGGTGAAGTGGCTGCTAGCTGTGCTGGACTACCAGCTGAGAGCTTTTCACTGGTGACTGACTTCCACAGCGGGTGCAGTGCTCCCCCTTAGGGTTTTTCTTCCATTTGACTCAATTCTTTCCCCACCCCTAATTGTTGAAGTGTCACTGTTGCATCCCTTGATTCCATTCCACAATTCAAGATGTTTCGGGTAATTTAACAGTCAGCAGCTGAACTTTTTACCCAATGACTCTTGCTACAGTTTGGCATTTAAAGCTGAATCTTTTCCAAAAAAGACAGGTCGCTGTCACCTGATTCTTTTTCCTTCCCAACATCAGTTAAATGATCATTTTGCCATGGCTGCATGGCTGTGATTCTACGCCTGCTTACCTCCAATCAGTATTTCTGTGACTGCTAGTGTAACCAAATGAGCTGTTGCTTTGAATTAGTCTTGTGGTACTGTTACATGCTTAATTTTTACTTATTTCTGTACTGTGGAACAAAGCAGTATTTTGAAACAAAAACATTGAGGAAGCTTAGACTCATTTACATTTATTTAAAAAAAATATTTAAACACTTGTGAGTTATTAACTGCAAATCAAATACTTCTCATCCCTTTGGAAAGGTTCACAAGTACAAATTAGCCTCCTTCTGGCATCTTCACATCCTTCTCTTCTGTGTGCTTATGTACAATACTGTGAAAACGAGAAAATGGCACACATAAGAGGGCTGCAGTAAATGCCGTGCAGAAGACTGTTTATTTAAAACATCTTAGTTCCATGGCTTGTAAAGTAAGCGTAATGAATCCCCTTCAGCATGAACAAAGTCTGAAACATTCAAGTTTCAAGAAATGTTATTAAATTTATACATTATGTACTAACTTGGCTCAGTATTATATCCAGAACCAAACCATACACTCTGGCAGATGAGAATAAACCCAGCTACCCTGCAGCATTACTGAGGAGAGCATGATAAAATCTTTACACAGCAGAATTAAGAGTGTTAGACATGAATGTTACGGTCTTTCAACAAGAGCCGAAATCCCAGGCACTTCTGGCAAAGCTAATTACCCATGCGACAGCAGGCATCTCTTGCCTACTTGGCTGGTGACACCAGAGCACCATCTGATGCAATGTTTCCCAGGCACTTCTTAGGAATGTTTCTTACCTGAGAGTGGGACTATGCAAACTGTATTTTGAATGTCCACAACATGAAATTGTATCGTGCTCCTAAACCTGGGATATCTTAAGCTCTCTGCCCAGCCTGTACTTCATTTTCCTCCCTCTTATCCAATTGTTATTAACTTCTATTATAAATTCTTATTTCCATAATTGATTGTCCAACTGCAGTGCCGCAGTACTTCTTATCATAATAAGCTAAATTCCTTGCAAAAAAGCACTTGGCCTTGCTCAAGGACTGTTTCTCCTCCCAAAACAGAACAGAATCTTTCACGCTGGTGCCACAGTCTCCTCGACTACTTATGTAATGCGAGATTCAGTTCTTGTTTCTTTCTATTTCCCTTCCTGGCTTGTGCTTTCTTTTCTAGTAACTTAGGCAAACGCTGCTTAATTTACCTTTTCTACAAGTCTCTTCACATCTGGCTTTTGAACCTTTTCTATTTTTAGATATTCTTCTCCCTGGCATGTCCTGCTGCTACAGCCTAACTGTGATACCACAGCATCATTCCAGGAACCTGGGATACCATCAGCCCATGATTAGAAGCAAGTTTCTTGCAGGGGGAAGGATGCTAACTGTCCTTGCAGCACACTAAAATTCATGTACTGCACTGGGACAGTTCAGGGTTCAATAGTGAAGGGCAAGTGATTTTTCTTGACTGATCACAGAACCTCTACTATAAAAATAGCCTGCAGTACTAATGAACACCACTCATCCAGGTGTGTTCAGGCTGGGGCATTCACACCTCAGGAACATAGAGCTGTCTGTGTCTCCATGTACCCATGTGCTGTCCATATCATCCATGTGTCCAGCAGTTTACCTAGCAAAACACTGAATTTCCTGTGGAGGAGAGGTCACCTTGGCAGGCAGCAGGTGTAAAAGTAATTCTGTCAAGTGACAGGAACTTGAGGTCTGTGAATGAATAGAAAAGAGCACGCTTCTCCAAAAGATCTCTAAGATCAGAAGCAAAAAGGGCCACAGGAATGAGGAAGAGCACAGACCCTGAAAAGGGCACTATAACAAGTAAACATATTTCCAAGGAATTATGGAAGGAATATTCTTAAAGGGAACCTGCTAACACCTCAGTCACACTTCAGATGTAGAATACCGTTCTTTTACTGAGCAATAACACAGGGAGGAGGAGTTACCATTATTTCCTCGGATAAAGGCGTCCCCATACTTGTTCTTTAATTGTCCATTTACGTATTCTTCTGTCTGTTCCAGAGCTATGTTCATATACCCATCCAGGCAAGCCAGGACACCTGAAGGTAGTGACAGTTTAACAGTGAATCAGCTTAAACTTACTTTTAAAGAAATAAAAATGCATTGCATTTGAACAGTACAGGGAAGAAAACAAAACTCTTTACAACAAACTAAAAGCCCAAGCTTGCAGGTGAGTCAGTGGATCACAGGAATCTTAAAAGAATGAAGCTGTGAGTAAGGAACCCCAGGT